CTTTTTTGGGCTGTCACATACTAAAGTCATTTTAATTGCTACTCTATTTATCTCACGATAACTTAAAACAGGAGTAGGCAACCCTGATCCTGGAGTGCCAGTACTCATTATGTTTTCCACACTACTTGGTCTCTGATGAGCCACACCTGATCTCAGGCAGATAGATACTCATCAGGTGGGGTGGAAAATCTGCTGGGTACTGGCATTGCAGGAACAGGATCACCTACCACTGGCTTAAAACAAGAACACAAATCACACCTTCCTCAATGTGCCTTCCATAACTCCTTAGCCAGTACAGGATCAAGGTAAGCAGGGAGCTCATCTTGAGAAGAACGGGGTACCAAGCACTGGACAACCTGACAGGCCAGTCACTCATATAGACAAATTTCTCCTTTTCCTAGCACCCCACTGTTCTGCTCCAGCATCATGCAACAAATTATGCAAAAAAAATAGCTTTTACATTTTTTTGTCCCTTCCCAGTGGTATCTGGCAGGTTAAAATCTAAGATTCTGCCTGAGGGTAAGTTGCTTTTTTGTCTCATTAAGGAGAGTTTTTAATGTCATATGTCTTCCTTAAATTAAAGGTCAAACCATCCACTCCGTATCTTTCGTTTTTTACAGTAAAGCAAATGTGTTGAAATAACAGGGTATAAAAAAAATCACTTATCAGCCAATGTTGTCGTTTGCCTTTAAGCTCTGAAAATAAGCTGCAAGTAATTCAGCATTATTTATTATTTGTGATATAACTGCATGGCTATACAATTTTTGATATACAATTATTTCAGTAATACTTTACTTGAATCAGCACTAGTAACTTAGTATCTCAGTTACCACTCAAGTACAAATCATGAACAAATACAGTATCTACATAAAATACATGAACTGTTTGATCAATTAATGATCAACGAATATGGGATCACTATGAGAAGTAAAGTAAAGTGTTACCATTATTTTTATGTTACGTTGCTGTTAATTCACTTAAATGTTGCTGACAAATGGATCCAGGAATCCTTCTTTAGACCTGTGGTGGACAGCTGGAACTGTGTTTTTATTTCAACAATATGATGACATGCCTTCTTGTCTTCTAGAATGTTTTACTTGATTAAAATCCGATTACTCGATTTTTAAAAGTACCGATTAAAATTTGCCGGAGACTCGGCAATAACTCGGCAATATGGCGGAATGAATGGATTAGCGTCCAGACCTCAGGTGGGTGGGAGCATTTCACATTAACTAAAGTGAAAGAAAATGTAGCCTCCTGTCAGCATTGCAAAGCAGAACTTATAGCCAATCGTGTGAGGTTATCCATAGATATGCGCCATTTAGCCTCTTGGAGTAGCCTAGCCTGCCTTTGCCATCATTTTGACTTTAATTATTTTGCTTAATTTGCTTTCCGAGATTCCTGTATCTCAAAATAATTGCTGCTAAAGTGAAGGTTAGCCCAGTCGCTTAGCTGCATCACCTTACATGATGCAGTACATAATAACCAAATAATTATTTTTAAATGCTCTGTCAAATGAGTTGGCGGTGCTGCCTACAGACTCGAAGCAGTGCCAGAAAATGTACGTTAAAAATGGAGCTTATGCGAGTAAAAGTGCCTAAATTGACCATATGGAAATGAATACCCTGCAATGGGCTGTAGCCCCGTCCAACATACATATATTATATAGTGTCGCCGGGCAGATCGAGGCGGAGGCAGCGAAGAGAGGAGGCGAGACGTGTTAGTATTAAGTTGGTCTTTTAATTAAATGCTTAAAATATCTGCACTCAGGCAGCCACAAGCTTCCGATACCTTAGAAGGGGAAGGCAGGAAGGTTACACAGTAGACGGTAAAGCAGACACACACACGATGGGTAATTACAGAGGATTAGCTAGGGACACGTCAGGATCATACATACAACATATGTAAAGCTACACGTGACAACAGGGAAATACAACACAAGTATTAACACAAACAACAATACAGGGGCTATTTACGACATCTCCCAGAATGCTCAGCCCTTTTACTGGCCCATCTCTCCGGCTCTACAATATTATATTTAAACAGTTTCTCGATTAATTGTCAAATTAATTGGTAGATTACTCGATTTTTAATATAATCGATAGTGACAGCCCTACTTTAGATGGCATAAAAGTTATTGATAAAGCAAAAGTACCAGATTACAGGTATGATGAATTTGGTTAACGACAGCAACAACAAGAACAACAACAACAATAATAATAATAATAATAATAGTAATGTAAATTTGCCTTGTAAGAAAAACAGACCTTTAAAAGTAAATTTTATCTTTTTCCATCTTTATGTAATCTTCTTGATCTGTCTGCCATGGGTGAGAGGAGCAGGTCACCTATGTTTCCAAAGGGTCTTGTGTCTTGCCACTGGGGTCACGGAAGCGGTGACATTATGCATGCCATTAGTAAGCCACCTGTCATTGGGATTCACACCTGATGGGTTGGGGTCAAAGGTGACATCACAAATCTCATTGACAGAACTGAAACCTTTCTTCCAGGAGCCAGTCAGGACCAAAATATTTGCGCTACGGTAGATGGGCCCTAATTTGCATCTGTAGCGTGTCAAGTTAATGCCTATGTGGACTTTGGCATTAGCAATCTTAGCATTAGCAAGATTCAAATGCTGCATATTTTTTTTTATCAATACACCCATGAAAACAACAGCCACTCAATTAAGAAGCGAGTTATTTGATTATTATTTTGGTTGACTGTCTGAGTACGTATGAAGTACTGCTTATAATCAGCATTTAAAAACTATAGCGACAAGTAGACATCGAGGTGGGGTTTAGCTATCGCCTTATGAAGGTTGACAGTCATCACAACACATAAAGAGAGAGACCACAGAGATTATTAGCCCTTGAATGCATGCTTGGTGAAGTCAGTAAATGGGTTAGTCTCTAAAACTGATTATCTTCCTTTTGTCCTGAAATATAAGCTAGAAACCGAACTTGTTCGCTTTCAGTTTTATGATTGATTTCCTGACATTCCTAGATTGTTTAGCATAGGACTGAGAGTGTATTTTTTTTTCCATTTTATATATAGTCAGTCAGCCATGCAACCTACAGGCCCAGAAAACAGGTTGATGTTTCAGAGTAAAAGGATTAAGTTTAAAAACATGAACAAATACAAGAATGGGCAAGTACAACCAACAACTGCAAAGTATGTTGCAGGTGTTTTATAGATACATACATAGTAAACAGTCAATTGGGTGGGGGGCTTTTAATTCTATTATTATTTTTTTGTGCATTGTTCTTTACATGTATCTTTATGCATTTCTTTGTCCAAAGAGACATATAAGTAATATGGAGATAGTCTGTTGCAAAGCCAGTATAGTAACAATGATGGTTTAAAGAGTACAGACGCTCCTCTACTTACGAACTTTCAACTTACGAACTTTCAGACATACGAACGAAGAGGACTGTAAGTCCAAATTGTGTTCCTTGGGCTCCCGTTTCCTGTCCGCAACATCAATGTTTTTTCTGCTCGCCAGTTCCGCCTAGTACGCCTTCTGGCCGCTACTCCCGCCGCGCAGCAGCGTAGCGTGCGTACTCCCGGCATCCTAGCTCTTAGTACTTGCGTATACCCTTAAATGATGTTGAATAACGACTTATGAACATTTCAAGTTACGAACGGCCGTTCGGGAACGTATCTCATTCGTAAGTAGAGGAGCGTCTGTATAAGGATACTATCAGAAATACAAATATGCAAGTATCTCGTTTAGGCCACAGTTTTACAGATATTCCATAGTCATATTACATAACTATGTCTTCCAGGGCAACTGAAGAATGAAAGAAATTATACCTCCAAGTGTCAGTCATGTAGCCACCCTTAGTAATACGGCTGATTTGATGTACACATTTTGTTCTTATGAGGGACGCATGTCAATCTATTCTCAGGTTAAAATATGGGTAATGGGCACCTCTAACTGTAGAAGGAAACATGGATGACTGGATGTTCCTGCAGTTCATTTTTCTTTGCTCTTTCTGTGACTTTTCCCCCAGTGTAGTGATTTCCAGTTTTCTATCAGGCTGGACTGTCCACGCTTGTGCGCAGCACTACCTGCACGCCTCAGAGCGGCGTAAGCACACCCCAGAGCGCCAAAGAGTGTCATGCTTTTGACAGGGTAGCAGCCACGTGATACAGAGTTCCTGCAAGCAGACTTTTTATATCTCTCGCTGCTTGACACTAGCAACCATTTGCAGATTCTTAGCACAGACCGAAAGCATACCGGGTGCATTGTGGTTCTGGAGACTACATGAATCATGGAGATTCACTATATATTAATGAGTGACAAAGATTCCGTTGTGTTCCTCCTGACTACATTGACATTACAAGCCTTATTGTCCAGGTCCGATTTTTTGCTCAGATTGGATTTGCCTATCTTGACAGTTCACATTCATAATTACAAGTGACCTGTATCTAACTGTAACGTAAATGCATCTGTCCTATAAAATGGTGTGTATGCGAACATTGATACATTTTATTCACGAGTGATCTGCGTCACCAGCATCAAAAAAAAGCTATCCTATCTGACTGTTCACATTCTTGTTGCATACATATCCAGTCTAGGACCACATATGAAAGTGACTCTGACCTGATTTGAAAAACTCAAAAAAAGATTTGAGTCACTTTGAGTGTGAACATAGCCTGTCCCAGTGAGTCCACAGTCTATGAATGTTACATTTATATAGCGCCTTTCAAGACACCTAAAGCTCTTAACAGAATCAATGGGGAGCCACTTCAACCACCACCACTGTGTAGCCCCCACCTTGATGATGAGACGGCAGCCATTCTGTGCCAGGACACTCACCACACAGTAGCTAAGGTGGTGAAGGTGCAGGAGAGAATTCACCAATTAGATATAGGGGATATTTAGGAGGATGGATTTGAAAGGGCCACAGTGGGCAGTTTTAGCCTGGGCATCAGGGTACCACCCCTGCTTTGTAAAAGATGCCCCATTTTTACAGCTAAGGGTCCCCGTCACTGGGATCCACACAGACCACAGGATGGGCCACACCAACGCCTCTCCCAGCAGCAACCCAGCTTTCCCAGTTAGTCACGTATCCAGATACTGGGCAGGCCTAAACTGGCTTAGCTTCAGATAGATTATCTGGTCAAAACGTCTGGTGAAACAAGATGTAGAGCTGGGATCACTCTGGGGTGAGTTTCCCAGAGCCTTTTTAACGCTACGTCGTCTATGTTAATAGCTAGAACTTACAAACGACGTAGCGTTAAGAAGACTTCGGGAAACTCCCCCCTCCATCCTTTCCTCTCCTAATCACTTATCCAGTACACAGTTGTTGGGGGGATATTTTCTTCTAAGATGTATTATCTGCTCTAGTTGAGTGTGTTTTCTCCTGGCCCTCCTGCAGCCCAATGAGATGCGATTAGTTTGATTTGCATCATTAAATTGTTCGTTGCTTGTGTGAGCCTTGCAATTGCCTGGAATCCTGTCTGGGACGTTCCTCAGCCCTGTACAGACTGGGATAGGCTCTAGTCCCACCCGTCCCACTCCAGTGTGTCCAGGACAAGTGGTTCTAAACTAGATCCATAACAATCAATCATCCCTGAGCTTTTCATTGAGTAATGACCTCAGAGATGTATCTGTTTGCATTTGACTGTTTATGTAGCATTGTTGTGTTTGTCCAGATGGTCTATGTGAGCAATCCTTAAAATTTTTATTTTTTTTAAAAAAACAGCACAATAATCAGTCTTTAAGAAGTCTGGCCTTAATACATTCAAACTTGTCTCAGGATATACATCAGCTTTACTATGCTGTTCTACCACAGGACCAGAGACCAGATTCACGGAAGCTGGATCACAACACATGCGACTCTGACCAGCGCTCTGATTTATATTGTATAGTGTCCAGTAGTATAGAATTCCAGTAGAATTTCTTTTGAGAAGTGTACATATTTATTGAGATTAACAAATAAAATAAAAGTTTTTTTTAAGAATCCCGTTAGCATCACTGGTGCTTCGCACGGCTTTTCCGAGATGAAACTGCTCAATCAGTTATTGTATTGTATGTCCTGAGAAATTGGATTTATGACATCTTCAATCATCAGTTCAATCCAACTCTTCAATGCAAGTAAACACAACAAATTTGAGATCCATGGATTATGAAGTATATCTATGAAATATGCATATGGAATAAATGTGCGTATGGAATACGGTACTTCTACTCTGCCTAGTTTCTTTTTGATGGTTATATTTGGGCATCTTTAGACATTAGAAAACGTGTGGTTTTTGATATTATACATTTTATAAATCTTTTAAGCTAATTCATTTAACTATGCATATATTTATATTTAATTGATTTATTAATTTGTCCCCAAACTAGCAATTTAATCCATGTCCCATTTACCGTTGACATTGAACTATAATTTTTCTTTTGCCTGTGTTTACTTAAGTATTTTCCCACCGATGTGACACTGGTAGGTGACAGGAAACAATGTAGGATTACAGATCGTGAACCTTCAAAAATGTTGCCACATCTTTAAGCCCCACTTCTCACAGTATCAGTGCCGGAAAATTCCGGAATAAAGAAGCATGCAAGGCGATTCATTTAATATGCTCAGGAACATGCCACATTTGACGACCATATGGGGCTGTGGAGTTTAACGAGCGCTTGTGTTCCGGATTCCTGTAAGGCCGTTTGAACTCCGCACTCAGATAAGTCATTAAAAATTCAGTAGTACCTTCTTCTTAAAAGGGGGTCTCTACAGCGAATCTATTGTATATAATTTTGCGTATCGTATTGTGATAGTGTGTATCATGCCATCATTCTCTGGAGTAAAAAAAGATTATTTTTTGCACACAGCAGGTCAAAAGCATCTTGATAGAGTGAATTGAGTGGGCAGTGGAAAATGTACAGTATGTCTAAATTTGTATATCTTCACTGGCTCATTTATTTGTAGATGTTTGTAAATGTGTGATAATTGTAATAACAACTATTTATATTTATTATAGTATGTGTATCATTCTTATTAAATAGCATAATTGCTCTTCCGTAACAATTTGCCAATCCACAGAACATCTGGTTATTTTTGTCCATTCTAGCATATGTTTAACCAGTCAGTGAGTGCTGTTGTGGTAAAGCTGTATTTGTCTTGTCCGGAGGGGTGACAGTAGCGAAGGCGCTGTATGTGAGTTGACGCACAGGTCACCCCCCGCTATAAATTGATTGTTATTCGTCTATGAGTGGGGAATTTTTTTGCCCATTCTGGAGTAGTTTCTGCTGGCGCCCTGGGACTCCTCTTCCTTTTACAGGGAACTGTTTGAGGAAATCTCAGCGGACCTTGATACAATTACCGCGGCCTCTCCTCTTCAGCCACTGCACTTCTGATCGCGGTCCTCTGAACCGCGGGGAATAGAGCCAACTATCAGGCAGAAGATTTGGTCAGTCAGGCATCAAATGCGGGCCTCTTCTCTCACCCTGGGCACTGGAGCGAGGGCCGGGGGGGGGGCTGCCCTTGTGGGTTTTCACACGCTTCCGCCCCCGGACACAAGGATCTTTGGCTTCAGGACAGGGTACACTGGAGAACAGTCTTGACTGTTAGATTCTGGCGCCTTTTGTGCCAACAAAAAAAAAAACACAAAAATAAAAAGGCTCTATAAGCTTTATGCTTTTCTTGCCCCTTCAGATTGTACAATAAAGGGGAAAAGGCTCATCTTTGTTTGGGGCGTGGCTAGGTGAGGTCATTGGGCACATTCTTTCGGTACTCAGGGATGGAACGACCCATGAACTGGAACCTAAGGGATTCGTTCATACATTGTCTGTACCTGCTTGCCCTATGTAGGGTCATGGGGGCCTAGGGGGTATTTCAAATTAATTGCACATGCAACCTTTCGTGTAGCATTAATAAATAAAGGTGATACTGGCCTAGATTTTCTTTACATCGTTTTGCTCACCTTTACAATGTTTCATTAAGCACAATGGCTAAATAATCATTCTTTGTTAATCACAAATATATTACTATAAACAATGTGTTACACAGTAGATAATGGATAGTAGATAATGCAGATCAATACGCTATACGATGGATGCATTTATGATTTCCGGTCTGCTTAAACCAAAAATTTAAAACTGACCTTGCAAAGAAAATTACAGAACTAGCACTCTCATCATTCAAAGTAATATTATATACTGATTTAAACTACATTCACAAAATGTTGCAACACAATGATGCATTTTTGGATTATAAACTATAAATGTTTTTGGCTATAGGATTCCCCCAATTGACAAGTACAGATTTCCCTCCTAAAATTACAATTAAAATTATATAACATGAGAAAATTGCGCAATATCTGGAAAATTGATAGAATACTAAATTTAATGCATGAGGTTACAAAGTGAAATCACACTAGGCATCTTTTTAACCATGCATACTGGTGTCCAAGCTTTGATTCATGACTGTATTAAAATCGCTCCTCTTCTCTGTTCTAGTTACATTAACCTTGAGGAACGAAACATCTTGTCTCTATGGTCCATTAGACAGGAGCCTTCAAAAGTTCCTTCTTAGAAAGTTACTGTGCTAATAAAAGAAAGTGGCCTCAACGTTTCTTGAACAAAATAATATTCGATGTAAATTCCACATTAATAATACAAATAAAAACGTCTGGTTTTCTCAGGCTGAAGGGCTGCCGGTCTCAGACTGACCTGAGGGAAGACATGGGGTGTCATCCGTGACACAAGCAACATTTGGCACACGCGTGTGCAGGGGGCACCGCTCCTGTTGCTGCTGGCCTCACAAACACATGTAAACTGGAAGTCACGCTTGCAGTGGGATTGTCGAGACGTGACGGGAAAGATCAGAGGGTGATGTCCTCAACCCTGTCTGACATCCCCAAGGTTTCTGGGAACAAGCTTCAGGTTCTGGTGAAAAAAAAAACACAAAAAAAACATATAAACATTTTTATTTTTATTATTACTATTGTTGTTATCGTTGCTATTATTATTATTGTTGTTGTTACTATTGTGACTGTTGTTGTTACCTAGATTCATCATACCTGTAATCTGTGACCATAAAAACATTCTAGAACATTCTAGAACTCAAGAAAGCATGTCACCATATTGCTAATATAATCACATACTCCTAGCGACTCACCAAAGGTCTAAACAGGGATTCCTAGAACCATTTGGCAGGAACATTGCAGGACACAGTGAATTTGAATTCAATATATTATTATCAAAAATTATTATTTTTGTTGCTGCTGTTATTATGTGACAACCTGAAACCATATATGTTGCATTCGTAAAGAATGTCTGGACTTCTTTCAGGTTATTATGTTTTTCTTGAATTTCTGATAATTTTTTATTTTAATATATCAGATAAACATGAACTTTACTCACATTTGTCCACATTCTTCTTTAATAAAATAAATTCCAGGGGGGAGAAAGAAAAACACTTTGAGCCCCCATCGCAAATTATGAAGTTTAGTTGTGAAGGAAGAAAAGTAAGATTGATTGAAACAAGACTAATAAATAAATATATATGTGTCTGTTTTTTTCACCTTTACATCAGTTCTCTGGGTTGGCATTTTTAGGCCACACCTGTCAGAGATTGATAGCAAAAAGTAAGACACAATTGCACTTGGATGAACAGAAGAGTGATATAAAATGAAATATTTTGTAATGTCCTCTAAGAAATGCTAAGTCGGGATAATGTGTCCTGGCAGTGTGTACAGCTGAATGAATTAAACAGGAAAGTGCAAAACCAAGGAAAACAAATGTTTGTAATGTTTAGTTCATTATTTTGTAATAAAATAATTCAACATTTTTTGCTTGAGGGAACTACGAATGTGGTGCTAATTGTAAAAAAAATAGCAACAAGTAAATAATAACAAGATACTTGCAGATGTAAAATAAAAAGGTAGAGGAATCTTTATGGTGGTAGTTTAGTTAAGTATGTTCTGTGTGTTCTGCAAAAATTATTTAAAAGTACTAGGCTGTTATATAGATCTACCCTTACCTGTTACATAGATCTGCCCTTCCCTTTTACATAGATCTACCCTTACCTGTTACATAGATCTACTAAATGTAGTGTTCAAAATCAATCCATCCATCCATCCATCCATCCATGGGAAGAAGGCAGGTGACATCTTCAGCAAGTTTTTAGTGTTTTTGTACTTATGAATTTAGTATCAATATTGGCAACATCTAACTTATATTGAGTTGTTGTGAGTGTAACAATAGGTGATCGTGTTTTAAACAGCCTGAACACGGGTGTGTTCTTGAAACTTCAGACATAACACAGATGTGGTGAAACTCGAGGCTCCTCCAGCACATGTGCGGGCAGCAGGGCGACAGTTCAGTCCCCTGAACGTCATGTGACTCCCCTTCACCATCAGGCTGCACGCGGACGACCTGCCAATCAACCCCTGTGTCCCCGTGCTGTGGCCCCGCAGTCGCCAGGAACAGTGCGCCCATCATGTCAGACAGAGGAGTGACACTGATCGCTCCCTGGAGCCCACGGAGCCCCTCTGTTATCGGGGAGATCCCCCATGGACCCAGCCAACCCCAGCGATCTGCCGCCAATGGTGAGACAGCCCCCAGGGAACGCAGGATACAATCAAACCCTTCCGGAACATTCATAGAGAAAAACGCTGTCTTATTTCTAACTAGAGTCCACGTCGTGTGCTTTTAATCAGCATCTTCCTTTGTCCAAAAATACTCAAGTATGAAACAAAGGGGGGGAAAAAACCATCTCGTCCATTTTTTTTTATTATTTTGGGAAGCTGCTGAACATTAAAAAGCCATTATTTCCCCTCTTTACTTCCATATTCCGCAGTATATCTTTATGCATTCGGTACAATAGGAATGTGTCATGCTGCAATTATCTTGAAAATGTACAGTAGCCCAGCCACTTATAATCATTTATTCATAATGCACCTGCTGGACGCAAATGCACTTTATTGTCTCGTCCCACATCCAATTTGAAGCTTGGGCCCAGTAAATGGGCCACTTTACCCCAAAACAAGTGGCCTTAATACCAAACTCATACAGCAGTGCATGTAGGTGGAGGCAGTGTGTGGAAATTCAATCACAAGTCCCTTCAATCACAGAAGAATATTTTTTTTACCTGAGAGTATTAAAACTATACAATTTTAATAGCTGTTTAACATGTAGATGCTCTCTTTGCCTGGAATCTCCGCTGCATCCATATTAAGGTCAATGACAAGAAGGTAAAGATGAACCTGCTCCGGCAGCCATGAGCATGACACGCTTTTCCCAGCAGGAAACGTCTCCGCAGCCCCCCAAAAATTACCCGATTAAGTGCTCTGACCCTCTCCTGCCAAGAGCAGTCAGATGGATGGTGGGGGGGGGGGGGGGGGGGGGTGGATGGCGTCCCATGCAAGGTGTCCCCATGCTGCTCAGGATACTCTCTCAGCTCATCATGACCCCATACTGGATAAGCTATGATGGATGGATGGATGGATGGATGGATGGATGGACGGATGGATGGATGGATGGACGGTTTATGATTTAGGTCTAGCTGGAAATTTCATAGAATTAATTAAATGTTAAGTGTCTTGGTAGAGTATTTCATCAAGCAATATTCTGCTTATAAGTGCATGTCAATAACCATTATGTTTATATTATTATTTAATCACAACTTGTAGCTAACCTGACCAAGAATACATTGATGCAGTTTTTCGTCCAGATAATGTATGTCATAAAAATCTAGACAGAGCACAAAATGAGAGTCTAAGCTTTTGGTGTAATAACCCATTTCATCGTATTAAATGTCCCAATAAAACAAAAGTTTTTCCCTGCTGTCATAAACTTTTCTTAATCACAATATTTTTTCCCGTAACTATAAAAATGAATGTGATTTACTCATGAATTTAAGTGTGAATCACAAGCAGACTGTTCCTCAGAACTAAATTCCCCTTTTCCTAACATCTCTCCATCCATCAAGCTTCCAGCAGCTCCTCCATCCTGTGGTCATGGTGGCCGTTTTAGTTTTATTCAATTTAACATTTTAAACTGCGATCCAACACCTCATGTAGAGATTATCACAAAACTGGCCCCAATGCTGCTGGGTGCTTTAAACAAAACACAATTTATTCCATAACTTACCAAAAATCTTGCATCAAACTCTATTTCAATGAATGAACATGGATAAACATGTCTGTCATGACTGATCTTCTAATTGGGTATTTAATTATTTGTTTAACTACTTGAATAATAGCAAATACTCCATTCATAAGATAAAAAGAATTGTCAGTTGTACTGAGACAGATTTTCTGGCAGAAACACACATATAAAACACTTGCGTATTTATTCTAGATATTGCACTATTATAAAATATGTACATGGATTGGGAAGTGGTTTCCTTTGTGTTCTGCATAGAGGTGTGTGTTTCCCATGGTAAAAAGCATGGTAAAACGCTGTCCCCCTAAAACACCGGGACACAGTCGACAAGAGACAGGGTGACAAACCTATGTCGGTACAATAGCAGTCCAGACAGTGTGTTTGCAGAGGTGTGCTCCACAAACTTAAGGGCAGCATAGGGCGATCACTCCCCCAGCAGCCCCCCCCGAGCCTGTTAGAAATGCACTCAGAGTGCTCGCCTAGGAGTGACTGACTGAGGTTAGAGTCTCATCTGGTGTCCAGAGGACTGGGAACAGCCCTGTCCATGGTCAGCTGAGCAAGGACGTTGTTAGCAAGAGGACATGCTGTATAGGAAGCAAGTGACAATGGGGAAAGTGGCCTGGTGGCTCTCCGTGGCGGGGGGGGGGGGGCTGCCTGCCCGTCCGCCCTCTTTCGGCTCCTGACAAGACAGACCGAGCTTCCAGTCTCTTCAGGCCCATTTAAATAAATGATACTAATTTAAACCCATGCAGATAATTTGAAAGTGAGGAAATTTTCTTTGCATCCAATGTGTGACCGCAACATTTAACGGCTGTATTCTGTTAGGGGTGTAGGAAAGGCCAGTATCTCGGAGCCCTCACATGCTATACAGCACAGCTTGCTTCTATTATAGTATTTCGGTGTAATTCAAGTATATTTCACAACTGGCATTCAGGGTCAATCAGTAGCTTAGCATGATGCAGTTATTCAACATAAAACAGAAAACACCTTTCTTGTTTGAGGTGCGTTACTTTGACTGCATATATATATATATTTATATATACAGTATATATATATATATATATATATATATATATATATATATATAATGAACACATTACACATATTAATCCAATTAGTTTTATTTTTTGCATTTAGTTCATATGAGTTAGCAAGCAGAATGTTCCATGGTCTTGTATTAGCAGTCATTGGTTTAAAAGGGGTTAGGAAACACTATAGCACTATCAAGCTGCTTATAGTTTTATGCGCAGAGATGAGCAAGAAAATGCGTTAGAGTTCAAAAGTGTAACTTAGTTAATTGTGTTTTTAAACACAGATTCAGTGGAATGCGATCTTCACAAAAAAAGTAACAGTAACATAAAAATGCTAATTTTGATATTCAACTGGAAAATAACTGGCTATTTACGTTTATGCATGAGTACAGAAAACGCCAAGATCGGTATGGGGAACTTCCCCTACTTTCAGAAAGACTATAATACAGGAAGCCCCGTGATACATGTCCTCATCTGGTTCTTTGTGTTTACTTCAGCATCGTTCTGCAGTTAAAATGAGCTCATTACAATAGGAAGCACAAAGTATTGCAGATGCGGTTTTGATAAAGAACCAGCTCACCCACTGTTACTTTTTATTACAGAGACTGAAAGCAGTTTATGAAATTGAAGTGTAATATGCTCCACCGTGACACAGTTGAAAGCCTGCAACTTGCTCGGGGGTCGATGTCAAAATGGTGATCGTCCCGTTACCTTTCACGTGGAGATAGCGTTCATTTGGAACTGTGGTGTCAAACTCTATCCTTATGTGTACTTCACCATCACTTCAAGATCTTCAGATCATTCTGAAAAACTTTTTCTTTAAAACACTTTAACTATGTAGTTTCTAAAAACTATGGTTTGATGAAGGAAGACCACTTCATAGCCTATGTAACATTCATCTAATATGTTGCGATGAAGTGCACAATGTAGCGTTATGGTGGCGGGATTGCAAATTACACAGATGATATGTAACTGCATTGTCATTTCTAAGCAACAACGGATGCTTCTGTTGTGCTATATAAATAAAGTGACTTTTTTTCGATTCTTGTACGCAATATTAAGAGGATACTAGAGAATAAACAAAACTCGAATCATTGACTAAAACAGCAAAAAAGTTTATATCAATCAAACCAATCATCGCATATTTTTTAATAGTGAATTATTAAATAAACACCTCTGAAATCCTTCCAGACACTTAATTCACGGAATTAACAAACGCCATTAAATTGATTTGCTTTGCCAAAAATAAAGGCAATGAGACCCTGAACTACTGAAAAATTCGACTTACTTGTGTCATAAATTATTCAGAATCTTGCCTTTTTCTTTCTGTGTTCTCGCAAGATGCATGTCTTCACAGGAAACTCGAGTGTATCACTAAGGAAAATTTAAAAGAGTAATTATCTTGTCAGTTTCCTGCTTGACCTTAAAACCGCGTAGTGGCTTATCTGCGACTTTTGTATTGTAACCCAGAGAGGGAGCCCGTTTATAAAACAGGCCCGGAAGCCTTGTACGGTTCTGGTCAAGTAATGTGTTTTAAACTGGGCTGGACGAGGTACAGACAAACCTTAGTCATGTTTTTCAATGGTGTTATTTAAACCACTTAAGATACCCAAGATTAATATGAAATGCAACCTCACACTACAACAAAATACGTTTTAACTGCCAAAAATTCGGACTGTGTATGTTTCTCATAACACTCATTTATGCATCTCACAGAAAAAAAAAGAAAACAGAAGCTATATCCCGACTGCCTATATCAGTTTTCAAAGAAGCGCATATTGTTTTTAAAAGAAAAATCTAGAGAATTTCACTGGCTAATTTAATTCCCAAGCATTTATGAGTCTATGCAGATATTTCACAGGGACTCCATTACACCAGCAAATGGTTTAATAATACAAGTCTACACACAAAACCCATTGTTGTTGATAGAGCGTGTTCATCTTGACCAACTTTATCATTTTAATACTTCACGGTTCAAACGTTCACAGCACAGGGTCTAATGGATCTAAGAATTGTGTAATATTAACGTTTTTATTTAACATTTATTTCGATTCCAAAGAGAGGAGTTTTTCACTTTTCGATTCTACATCTAAGAGTTATTAAAATGTACGAAGTTTTCCATTTGTCTTTTAGACGATAATTGTCTATAGGAGCCTTCATTAAAACGGAAAGCCAAGACCTTTGGCCTTAACGTCACGAAAATGTTCATGAGTGACAAATACTATGGAAACGCGTCACACGTTAATCATACCCTATAGCCCTCAGTAATTTTCAGTCTTATTTATTGTATATTAACAACAAGCCTAAACGCACGTTTATAAAAAATGAATAACTCAGAGTAATCAATTACATGCATTTTTACTCTGGCTTGATGATTATTAGACCTGTCTTTAGCGCTTCAATATTTCAGAGCGATATTCTGTTGTTGTTATTAATTAATTTAATGAAGATTAAAATTGCTAGCGATACAGGACCTCCGACTGACCCAATGGACCTTTGTTTTGTTACTTAGAGGTATACTTTCGCCGGACTGCATAGTTAATTTAATTTTCTAAAGCATTCATTATTTTCCCAACTCCCCTAAATGCCAACAACTTGCTTTATAAAGTCTAACTTAATTTGAGGACAAGTACATTCATCTGTAAATCAAAGCAATTATGCGGCCGATATTATATTATGTTGGCTGGTCTCTAGATAGTCATCAATCACCCTCAATCGAGCTGTCACTGCAGGCAGATTCGTTTCTTGCAAGCAGTCTTCCAGCTGGGGAAAACTGGGAGTACATCATCATTAATTTGAGTGTGACCCTGGGGCTATTCACATGTCTGAACCCGGGACTCTCTAAGCAAGTCAGCACACCACGGAGCGGCAAAGGCACCTCTCCTACCCAGACGGATAAGAGCTTCCCGCAGTAGCTCCTGCATTTAAGTTATTAAAAAAAACGCCTTCCAGGTTTAACGGGTAACTTGGGGCGCTGGAAGACAGAAGCAAAATTATTTATGCGAGATTTTGGGACAAAGAACTAAGACACAGCCTGCCGCGTAGGTTTGAGACGCTTAGTAAATGCAATTCAACTGTATATTGGCATTTCTTATTCTTGTAAGTTTATTACACGTTTCACTGACCTGTAGTTTAACAAGGGGGATGTAGCATATACATATATATGGTAGAAATCAAATCATAAAGGTCTTATAAAGTGGTCAAATAAATACGTTCGGTATTTTGTAACTATACTTCTTTGACGTTCTACGCTAATTTTAACAGCTCTATGCTAAATCATAAAATCTTGTACCGCTAATACGACTCTGTTTCGGCTTAATCTCATAGATCTATATCGTGAACAAATTCTGCTTCACTAATTTCTGTTCTTTCGTCTCATCTGTACTTGAAGCTACAGTAATTGCTACAAAAGGGCGGGTGAGGTAGCTGCTCGTTAATTAATTTCTAATTAAACATGCTCCCCATCAACCAGTGGGTAGGGGTGGGCGCATTTCTGTAAGCTTAATTATACGAAGTACATTTAAAGCAAGGTAAATTGTTGAATCTTTAAAAGCCTTAGTTAATTCAGTTACGCCCCGCAAGAAATCTAAAAATCCCTCTTCCCCTGTTCTCATTAGCTTCTTTGAGTTTTATCCAGAGAAATGCATATTAAAGTTACAGTCTGGTCATTTTGAGTAGGAATCTTCTGACGTCAGAGTCACCGGTGTTTAAAACAACCCGCATCTGAGCTGACGTGTTTTATAGTACTTTTTATATAGCAAAATATGAATTTCTGACATCAAACTGGTCACCCTGCCGTAGATATTATGTTACGCTTATGCAACTGTATCTCAGAAGAATATAGGGAACCAACCAAAGGCAACTAACGCATGTTTTGAAAAGCGCTGGAGAAGCATCTCAGCAAAATTAAATATGGGACCCTGGTTCGCCCTATAAGCATCTAGGAGCCTGTGGTTTCCAATCAATTGGTACAGTGAAACACAGCAAGCCTGCGATAGCGCGGAGACCTGCCGTCTCGCTGCATTCCTGGATATTTGGATCTGTCTACCATGTCATACCCACAGTTTGGATACCCGTATTCGTCTGCACCTCAGGTAAGTTTCCTGGTATTGATTATCAAAAAGGCATTCGGTTACATTTCGGCAAGATTGATCGCTACATCGATTGAATATTAATGCATTCATCTACTTTAAAAGCATGCGAGGAAAGGGAAACCGGGCTTGCTTTGATTGCGGAGGCTGCCAATGAATGAGCGACTCTAAGAAGATATAATTGATTTGTTGTGATACCTGTTTTCGCGTAGGGGTAAAGTTAACGCCAAAGCAATAAACACTGACCTTTGAGTGAAAGATATCTCTCGGAACGTAACTTATCCTCATAGCGAACACCTTAATGTCAGCGGGGTTTGAGAACATGTAAGCCATCATAGGGTCTGGAGAGCAATCAACTGTTGTTTTCTGGCAACGGTCCACACAGCCCACACGCCTTTTCACATATGGATGCGTTCGGAACCATATTTGAAGATTTGCTAAAGCAAGTGCCGGGTTTTATTCGCCGAAATGCGACAAGTTGCGATTTGTTAGGACTATGGTATGCCAGGTAACTTCCAACATAACTGCCGAAGGTGTGTGAACGCATGTATGTGTGCGTATAACGTGCTGCAGGTTATATAGTCATATGCATGGGATTTATTAAGAATCGGCAGCTGTTTTGTGTTCTCACCCTCAGTTCCTGATGACTACAAATTCATTGAGTACTTGCTGCGAGTCTAGCGGCAGGGCTCTTTCGGACTCCGGAGTCAGCGCATCTGCCCCAGCGCCCGTTTATTGCCCCGTTTATGAGAGCAGACTGCTGGCCACCGCCAGACATGAGCTCAGCTCGGCTGCAGCTCTGGGCGTCTATGGTAACCCCTATACAAACAGCCAAGGCTACGGCAATTACGTTACTTACGGCACCGACGCCTCGGCTTTCTACTCGCTGGTAAGCTTTTCCTGCACTTTATCCTCACAATCCATTATGATATCGCAGCTAATTAGAGCTTGTGAGGCATAAGGCGAAGTTGCGCGGTGCTTTCAATTAATGTTTTTAACGTGGGAAGTTTCAGCCTAGTAAATCGACTCCTCTTAGGGACCGGTGGAGCTATTCATTATGGCTTATGTTACTGGTGACAACAAACCACACTGCATTGACTAAACATTAAAAGAGAGATAAGTAATCGCATTCGCAATCAATACTGCTTTACATTTAGATAAAACTCATGCACATATCATACATGACGAGCATTATGTGTTGAGAAGCACGATTTAAGGATTTCTTCATATTTAATTTGTTTACAGTATACTGTTTTAAACTATATGTTGCAGTTGTCAGGTTGTAATAACTTGGGCTGATAATATAGCCTATATTTAAAAGAACGTATAATTTTCAATAACAAAGCGCTTGATTTTATTAGTTATTCAGCAGGATATTACTGCGGAATACGGTTAAAACAGTATCGTGAATCGTTTGTATTGTAACTTCTGTAATTTACCTTTGATTATTATTTTCGTCGTTTACTTGCCGTTATGAACTACATGCTTTGTTGCAGGGCACGTTTGACACAAAAGACGGAACAGCGTCTGCGCATGCGGGGATCACGCAGGCTGCCGCTTACTACCCCTACGATCCATCCCTAGGGCAGTATCAGTACGACAGGTACAGCATCATTCATTATTTTACAGCACAATGTTTGCAATATATTACTTGACCAAGAAAGATCTTGGCCTACAGACATAATCTTTAAAAGCTACATAGACCATTTTAATTGAAATATGTTTTTTGGGGAAAAGGATGTATATGTATTTTTTTTTTATTTCCAAAAGCTATCTCCGGTAATGACTACATAAGCACATATATCACTATACCTACAAAAGTTTTGTTCTTTAAAAATTTTGTTAAGTCACATACAAAAACGTATACGTACCTGCAGCAGTATGTTTATCTTCGGATGTATGATGTCAGTTTGCAGCAAAAGGTGTCGAAATTGCTGTCAACTCGCGTACTGTATGCTATGTGAAGTTTAATCCGTATTATGATTTGAACTGTCGGGTGAAAATTTCCTGGTTACATATTTAATGAATTACATATAATATCTGATATATCAAATGTATTCACCCTGTTAAGGGTATTTTGTTTTGTTCATCTTTCAAAATCTATCCTTATAAACGGTTTGAACGCTGCATAAGCCATATAAAAATACTACAGAAGATACCACGATTGACTCAATGTATTTATTTTTATTATTAATGGCATTAACCGGTTTAAGGGCAGATAGTCATTTATGTAATTTTGTAATTAAGGAACACAAGTCGTACTCGATTCGCTCCCGCCTTTCACAGATACGGATCGATGGACGGAGGGACGCGAAGGAAAAACGCCACTCGAGAAACGACCAGCACACTGAAAGCCTGGCTGCAGGAGCACAGGAAAAACCCGTACCCGACCAAAGGGGAAAAGATCATGCTGGCTATCATCACTAAGATGACCCTAACTCAAGTCTCCACCTGGTTCGCCAATGCCAGGAGAAGACTGAAGAAGGAGAACAAGATGACATGGCCTCCTCGAAACAAATGCTCCGATGAGAGGAGATACGACGATGATGAAGAGGTGGCATCTCAAGGGGAGCAGATCAAAACCGAGAACAACGAGGATGGTTAGCTGACCTTAACTAGTAATGTTTTTCAGCACCTGGTGGCCAAATGTTAAATAGTGCCGCGGTTAAAGTTATGCTGCTACAACACACCCATGTTTGGTTATAGCTTACAATTTTAAACGCGGGCTTTAATATAAGTTCGGAGATATAAACAACTTCGCAAAGATATTCAATTTTAAACACATTGTCTTGTGTGTTTCCATTTATTTGCAGAAAGCCGAAGTCGGGAAGATAAAGATCTACAGCTGAGCGACCTGGAAGACTTCGACACCATCGACTCAGAAAGTTCCGAGTGTGATCTAAAACACCAGTTTAATGTCAACACCCATATGGCGACAACCGATGGTCCCAATGATCACCTTAAGGAAAGGCCCTTAAAAATTTCAATCCCGGTTTCTCTCGAAGGGAATCAAGAATTGACCAAAAGCTGCCTGAAAACGGGCTCGGAAGATTGTGCGGAAGACGGCAGGCAGACGAAAACATGCTTTCAGCAAGGTCACCAAATACTAGACAGCAAACCAAGAATTTGGTCTCTGGCCCAAACCGCCACTTCATTGAACCAAAATGAGTATCCATCATGTATGCTGAGATGTCAACCAACCATGCCACCTTCTCCGGGAGCCTCCTCTCCCATTAATGTCATTGACAGACAGCAGGATTCTCCAGTCACCACTCTTAGAAACTGGGTAGACGGGGTCTTCCACGACCCGCTATTTAGACACAGCACTTTGAATCAAGCATTAACCAACACGACAGTTTCTTGGACAACGACCAAAGGTGCAATACTGGAGACCGGTACACTTGGACGCTCTGTTGGAAGCAATGTAATCAAAGGGCACATTCCTTCGCTACAGCACCAATAATCTAACGGGAATACGTGGATATTTAGCCAAAACAGGATGTTTTGCGGTAAACAAACTTAAATCTCATGTGAGATGCACTGTTGTGACGGCACTCTCTCTGGGATGCACTCTTGCGACGGCAAAGCAAGAAGTGTATGATCTGAATGACATTGCATCCAAGGTTGGGATTACCGGTGTATGTGATTAGTCAAGGGATTACTTATACATAAGTGCATTTGGGTTTTCACGGGCGAAACTCCCCCAAAATGATCTCTTCAAAAGTATTTTTCTTCCTTTAAACGCACGTGCAAAATATGTAATTGTATAACTGGACGTTTACATTCGAGAAAAGAAAAAAAAAGTTTTCAAAAGGAGGATCTGTTTTTCGTATGGCATGCAAATGTTAATCATTTCTCTTAATATTATTTAGTGCTCTGTCATTGTTTACCGATGACTCGCAAATGTCACTGTTAAAAGTATCACACAATTGCACAAGTTTCCTAAAGCTGGAAGGGTATGCTTAACGATTGTTCACTTAAATAAATGGTCTGTTTTGGAGGCTCATGTGTCGTTTGATTGCGTGACTTGAGGCTGCTGTCCTTGGTTCTGAAAGGGCAATCCACCTGGTAACCAGCAGATTCACGTTACGTCTCCGCAATAAAATATAACGTCTGTTGCAAAACTTTTGTTTAACATTTAAGAAACCGCCCTAAATTGTGCTTGTTTCATGCATGTTGATCTTAAAAACCATATTTTTGAAGAAGCGGCGTCCATTTCTCTTATGTTTTTCTATTTGCCCCATGAAAGTTGCGATTTTAATGCGAGTCATTCTCTTCTATTATTTACAGTAGTACAATATAGTTCTGTTAATGTGTGTGATCACGATTAGTAATGATTATAGGGACACCTCAAATATATCTGAACATTTTCAATGTTGCATTGCTGTTTATTTTAATTTATAACGTTAATTCGAAACCGTTTAGGTTCATTAATTCTAGGTATAATTATCTTTATATCTATTGTAGAAAAGAAATTAGGCAGTTTTATTTACGGGGGATGGGAAGTGAAAGATTATCTTAAAACTACAAACACGCAGCTGTGTTTCATCTGTTTGTTTTACTCGAGTAATTATATGAACGTTTACACTGCTGGGTTTAGTAACCTAAAGCATGAACAGTCAGTTTCATCCAGTTCATCCGATGTGAACATTCTGTAATTGGGATGTATGCAGTCATAATTCATGTCAGTGTATCGATTTTCTTCCTCTCCTTGATAATATTATCGAAATATCTAAACCTCTACGCTGATCCAGCTGTCAGACGCCAAAGCCATCAGCCCAGGTCGCTAATATTTGCAACTGCCGAGATAATTTGAAGTGAAATTTTCATTTTGACGCTAAGCCCTCAATTTCCAAAGGCTCTGCACCCTATGATATCCGCGTCAGGGAGAGCCTTTAAAAAAGCCACGTCTTCAAGTGAAAAGGGCAAAGGAACCCGAATTAGTTGTTCTGGATAAAAAGGGCAAAATAAAGAGTCAAAGGTATTTGACAGTAATGGCAAAAGTATATTTCCCAGAGGAAGACGTTTCTGCAGAAGGGTTGTGGTGATGAATTTTAATAAAAAGTTGAACGATTGAGACCTTCCACACCTCCTGTGTGTGTGTGTGTGTGTGTGTGTGTGTGTGTTTAAATCTTCACACGCAACACGCAAAATGAACCATAGGTAAGGTTAAATACTGCTAAATATGTCTCGAAAATATAGAAATTCTCAGTAGACATACTCGAAAGGTAGAGGAGGGAAATAGATTGATACGCACTTTAACTCCGCTCTATTTTGAGTTACTATCAAAAAAGGATGTATAACTTTACACGCGTGATCTTTTCGATTTTCTACTGATTTCCTGAAATTGTCTTGAATTGCCCGGGGAAAAAACACCAATATTTCACAATGGAAATAGCTCTAAGGGTTTTTGTAAGGTATGGAGTCTTCAACAGAGCTAAATTAACCCATTAAACTTTTCCCGTGAAGCTCCAGCTGAACTGTTGGAAAATATATTTGTAAAATGAAGTGGCTTTCAGAGGCAGACACGGTTGGGGGGGGGGGGTCGGGGGGCGCTGGCTGAACAAGGAGACTAAATCATTCAGCCGTGGCAAATTCAAACACACAGAGGAGGGGATGCTAAATTAACAGCACTTTTTACATAGGGCCCAAATAAAACTGTAATCAGCGGCGCGTTACTTTTCATTAAGCGAGTTTGACAGCAGCATATTCAGCCTCGACA